TGCAACTTTACCAAATTCACTGATGAACTCTAGAAGTCTTCTGGTAGCATCATTAGCATTTTCTACATACAATATCATGGCATCTGCAAATAGTGACAATTTTATTTCTTCTTTCCCAATTTGGACTCCTTTTATTTCTTTTTCTTTTCTGACTGCTGTGGCTAGGACTTCCAAAACTGTGTTGAATAAAAGTGGCAAAAATGGATATCCTTGCCTTATTCCTGATCTTAGAGGAAAGGCTTTCAGTTTTTCCCCACTGAGTATGATGCTAGCTGCAGGTTTTTCATATATGGCCTTTATTATGTTGAGATATGTTCCATCAAAGACCACTTTCTGGAAAGTTTTTATCATAAATGGGTGATGACTTTTTCAAAGGCTTTTTCTGCGTCTATTGAGATGATCATATGGTTTTTATTCAATTTGTTGATGTCGTGCATCACACTGATTTGTGCATATTGAAAAATCCTTGCATTCCTGGGATTAATCCCATTTGATCATGCTATATGATCCTTCTAATGTATTATTGGAGTCAGTTTGCTAGTATTTTGTTGAGGAATTTTATGTCTGTGTTCATCAGTGGCATTGCCTCTTTTTGCAACCTTTTTGTCTAACTTTATCAGGGTGATGGTGGCTTCACAGAATGAATTTGGGAGTATTCCTCCCTCTGCAATTTTTGGAAGGCTTTCAGAAGGATAGGTATTAACTCTTCTCTAAATGTTTGATAGGATTTGCCTGTGAAGCCATCTGTTCCTGGCCTTTTGTTTACCGGGAGTTTTGTTTTTGAAATCACAGTTTCAATTTCAGTACTTGTGATTTGTCTGTTCATATTTTTTCTTTCTTCCTGGTTCAGTCTGAGGAGATTGTACCTTCCTAAGGATTTGTCCATTTCTTCTTGGTTGTCCATTTTGTTGGCATATTGTTGCTGGTCTTCTTGCTGTCTTTTACAATCCTTTGTATTTCTGTGATGTCTGTTGTAACTTCTTTTACATTTTTTTATATTTTTAATTTTATTGATTTGAGCCCTTCCCCATTTTTCTTGCTGAGTCTGGCTAGAGGTTTATTAATTTTGTTTATCTTTCTAAAGAGCAAGGTTTTAGTTTCATTGATCCTTTCTATTGTTTCTTCATCTCTCTTTCTTTCTACTCTGATATTTATTTTTTTCCTTCTAAAAGGAAACTTAAGAGTTTTGTTTTTTCTTCTTTTCCTAGATGCTCTAGGTGTAAGATTAGGTTGTTTGAGAATTTGCTTGTTTCCTGAAGTGAGATTGTATTGCTATAAACTTTTGTATTAGGACTACTTTTGCTTTATCCCATATATTTTGAACATCATGCTTTCATTTTTGTCACTGGAAATTTTTATTTCCTCTTTAATTTCTTCAGAGATCCAATGGTTGTTTACCAGCATATTGTTTAGTTTCCAAGTGTTGTGTTTTTTATAGTTTTTTTCACCTGGTAATTTATTCCTTATCTTATAGTGCTGGGATCAGAAAAGATGCTTGATATGATTTCAATTTTCTTAAACTTACCTAGGCTCTCCTTGTGGCCCAGCATGTTATCAATATGGAAAATGTTCCATGTGCACTTGAGAAGAATGTATATCCTAATGCTTTTAGATGGAATGCTCTATAAATGTTAATTAAGTCCCTTGGTTGAATGTGTCATTTAAGATTTGTGCTTCCTTATTGATTTTCTGTCTGGATGATCTGTTCATTGATGAAAGTGGAGTGTGAAGTCCCCCACTGTTAATCTGTTACTGTTGGTGTCTCCTTTTATGGCTGTTAGTATTTGCCTCATATAGTGACATCCTCCTATCCTGGGTGCATGTATATTTACAATTGTTATATCTTCTTGGATTGATCCTTGATCATTGTGTCCTTCTTTGCTATTGTAATAATCTTTATTTTAAAGCCTTATTTTGTTTGATATGAGTATAGCTACTCCAGTTTTCTTTTGATTCCCATTTGTATGGAATAAATATTTCCATCACCTTAATTTCAGTCTGTATGTGTCCCTAGATCTGAAGTGAGTCTTTTAAAGACAGCATGTATATGGGTTTTGTTTTTGTATCCATTCAGCCAGTCTACATCTTTTGGTTGGAATATTTAATCCATTTATGTTTAAATGTAATTATCAATAAATATGTATGTTCTACTGTTTCTAGCTTAGAATTATTTAGGTCACAAAGGTAGTATGACTTCCAGCCCCACACATATGTGTCTTTGGATCTAAAATTAAGAATTCTTAGAGGACAGTATGGTACTGGCACAAAAACAGAAACACAGACCAATAAAACAAGATATAAAGCCCAGAGATAAATCCATGCACCTATGGGCACCTTGTCTTTGACAAAGGAGGTAAGAATATATAATGGAGAAAAGATAGCCTCTTCAATAAGTGGTGATGGGAAAACTGCACAGCTACATGTAAAAGAATGAAATTAGAACACTTCCTAACATGATACACAAAGATAAACTCAAAATGGATTAAAGACCTAAATATAAAAATTCCTAGGGGAGAGAAAAAATTTCTTTTCCTTTCCAACCAAATGCTTGCTTTTTCTTTCTAATCAAGGCCCAAGCAAAGATAGGCATATCATCTTCTGTAAGATAGTTTTCTTCTCATTCACCCACTGAAGGCTCTGGAATTCATAGAGATACCCAAGTCTACGTTGTGCTATAGCTCCAGGCTTTGTCTCCAAGTATCATACTGGCAGAAATAATAAACCTGTCTCTTTTATATTCTTCCTGTGTTTTCCCTCCTTCTAAATATTTACCTTAATTTAACCTACAACCAACAAATGAAGCTATAATTTCTTAGTAAAGCAGTAAAATTTTAATAGCTATTTATTAATTTTAAGCTATAAAAACAATTATATTTAGTTGGTAATCTGACTCATAATTATGTGTTCCTACAACTCTTTATCAGCTTAAAATCCTAAGCATATTTCTTATTCCAGTAACCAGTTCACCAAATACCATTCACTGTGATCCTACAAGCTGATTCAATTAGTATCTACCATTGATAACTGCCTATATTTAGTTAGGGCCTTTTGTTTGTTTTTTCACTCCTTTGCTCATTCATACAACAAAAAATATGTTAAATACCTACTCTGTGCTAGACTATTCCTAAAATAAAACTTCAAATGCTCATTCTATGCTATATTCAATGAAATGCTTAACAGTTTTGATTTGATGTCTTTGCTGCTCAGTTGTGTCCAACTCTTTGCAACCCCATGGGCTGTAGCCCATCAGGGATCTGTCCATGGGGATTCTCCTGGCAAGAATAATGGAGTGGGTTGCCCTGCCCTCTTCCAGGGGATCTTCCCAACCCAGGGATCGAACCGAGGTCTCTCACATTGCCGATGTATTCTTTACCATCTGAGGCACCAGGGAAGCCCAAGAATACTGGAGTAGGTATCCTATCCCTTCTCCAGGGGAACTTCCTGACCCAGGAATCAAACCAGGGTCTCCTGCATTGCAGGAAAATTCTTTACCAGTTGAGCTACCAGGGAAACCCAGTTGATATCTTTAGGTTTCCAAATCTTAATTTTCAGCCACATGCCTACATATAAGTATCACTTCTTTAAGCATAAGAAGCCTTAATGATGTTCATATAAATGACAGAAAACTGGCTAAATGATCACTTTTGCTTATCTAATTAAATGAATGGTATCAAGCTTCAACAATTTTTTCAAGATATAACAGGCTAAATAATATATGAAACTGGATCATAGAACCAACAGAAATAGCAAGAGCTTTTTTTATATTCATTTTGCTTTTGAAATTTAATTAATCTTGAATGAGTGGAGTAAATTATTCTTCAGATTACATCTGAGGTCAAGGATGGCAGACATTCCCATTATTAATTAATATTAAAAAGAATGTTCAGTTTAGAAATCTCAGAAGGACCAAAATTTGGCAAGCAAGCTATTTCAAGATTTTTATTCCCTCCAAACCATTAACTGCATTATATTAGTATGAGGGAAAAAATTTCATTTACTTAGAGTTAAGAACTTAAAGTTTCATATAAAAATCTACTCTAAACATCAGATTAAATTATGATAATTAAATATTATGCTAAACAGAAATTTATAAATTTCAAGAAGCATTAGGGAGTACATTTTATGTGCTATTCATCCATAATAATATTTGAATAAATATTCACTCTTCTTTTATTTGCCCAATGTGTTTGATGTTTTCAGAAAATATCATTATGACACTAAATAAACAGTTATGACAAACTAAAGCACAGAAAAATGTATAATAAGATATTTGACTGGAGAATCTGTGGACTTTCATGCTTTCTAGTATGCTTTCAAACATACTAGTTGAAGTTCAATATCTCTGTAACTCAAAGTGACTGCAAATAGATCAGATCCTCACCTTGGCTTCCCTGATAGCTCAGTTGGTAAAGAGTCCACCTACAATGCAGGAGACCCTGGTTCAATTCCTGGGTTGGAAAGATCCCCTGGAGAAGGGATAGGCTACCCACTCCAGTATTCTTGGGCTTCCCTTGTAGCTCAGCTGGTAAAAATATGGGAGACCTGGATTTGATCCCTGGGTTGGGAAGATCCTCTAGAGAAGGGAAAGGCTACTCACTCCAGTATTCTGGCCTGAAGAATTCCATGGATTATGTAGTCCATGGGGGTTGCAAAGAGTTGGACACAACTGAGTGACTTTCAGTTTTAATCCTTACCTCAGAGGGAAAAGGGAAATTAGTACAATATATCTGATAGGTAGCTTTAGTTTATTCCTTCTAAAACCTGGTAAAATTTTTAATTTTGTAAAAAAAAAAAAAAAAAAGTAAAAATTTCCTCTTGCATATATTCCCTTAACATTTAAAAATGTTTTCTGATAATGGAGTCATGATTTTGGTATGTAATATTATTAATAAGAAAATATATGTTAATGAGGGACCAGACCAAACTCCTTTGTACATTCTTGCATAATTAGCTACAGCATCACAAAATAAAGTAGAAAGAAATAAAAAACTCATACTTACACATGGGCAAGGCTTGACAGCATCACTCGGAAAAAATCCAACCTCTCCAGATGTTAAATTTCTACCCTAAATTAGAAAAAAAATGCCAATGTTGAGAACAAATTTACCATAATGATAATCCTGTAATGGTAGATACATGATGCTATTGGTCAGAATCCTTAGAATTACTTTGACATTGTACGCAATCCTAGCATTAACTTACTATAGCTCAGAAAGGGAAACATAAGCAGAAAGGTTATTAGGTTTAACAATTTTAAAACCTAACTCTACACCTAAAGCAACTTGAAAAGAAGAAATGAAGCACCCCAGGGTTAGTAGAAGGAAAGAAATCATAAAAATTAGGGCAGAAATAAATGCAAAAGAAACAAAGTAGACCATAGCCAAAATCAACAAAGCTAAAAGCTGGTTCTTTGAGAAGATAAATAAAACAGACAAACCATTAGCCAGACTCATCAAGAAACAAAGGGAGAAGAACCAAATCAACAAAATTAGAAATGAAACTGGAGAAATCACAACAGACAATACAGAAATACAAAGGATCATAAGAGACTACTTTCAATAACCATATGCCAATAAAATGGACAACTTGGAAGAAATGGACAAATTCTTAGAAAAGTGTAACTTTCCAAAACTGAACCAGGAAGAAACAGAAAATCTTAACAGACCCATCACAACCACAGAAATCGAAGCTGTAATCAGAAATCTTCCAGCAAACAAAAGCCCAGGACCAGACGGCTTCACAGCTGAATTCTACCAAAAACTTAAAGAGATAACACCTATCCTACTTAAAGTCATCCAGAAAATTGCAGAGTAGGGTAAACTTCCAACCTCATTCTATGAGGCCACCATCACCCTAATACCAAAACCAGACAAAGATGCCACACACAAAAAAAGAAAAACTAAAGGCCAATGTCACTGATGAACATAGATGCAAAAATCCTTAACAAAATTCTAGCAAACAGAATCCAACAACATATTAAAAAGATCATACACCATGACCAAGTGTGCTTTATCCCAGGGATGCAAGGATTCTTTGATATTTGCAAATCAATCAGTGTGATACACCACATTAACAAATTGAAAGATAAAAACCATATGATTATCTCAATAGATGCAGAGAAAGTCTTTGACAAAATTCAACATCCATTTATTATAAAAACCCTCCAAAAAGCAGACATAGAAAGACAGCTCAACATAATAAAAGCCATATATGATAAATCCACAGGAAGCATTATCTTCAATGGTGAAGAATTGAAAGCATTTTCCCTAAAGTCAGGAACAAGACAAGGATACCCACTCTCACCCCTACTATTCAACATAGCTTTGGAAGTTTTAGCCACAGCAATCAGAGAAGAAGAAAATAAAAGGAGTCCAGATTGGAAAGGAAGTAAAACTCTCACTGTTTGCAGATGACATGATCCTCTACATAGAAAACCCTAAAGACTCCACAAGAAAATTACTAGAGCTAATCAATGAATATAGTAAAGTTGCAGGATATAAAATTAACACACAGAAATCCCTTGCATTCCTATACACTAACAATGAGAAAACAGAAAAAGAAGTTAAGGAAACAATTCCATTCACCATTGCAATGAAAAGAATAAAATACTTAGGAATAAATCTACCTAAAGAAACAAAAGACCTATATATAGAAAACTATAAAACACTGGTGAAAGAAATTAAAGAGGACACAAATAGATGGAGAAATATACCATGTTCATGGATCAGAAGAATCAATATAGTGAAACTGAGTATAATACCCTAAGCAATCTATAGATTAAGTGCAATCCCTATCAAGCTACCAACGGTATTTTTCAGGGAACTAGAACAAATAATTTCACAATTTGTATGGAAATACAAAAAACCTCAAATAGCCAAAGCAATCTTGAGAAGGAAGAATGGAACTGGAGGACTCAACCTACCTGACTTCAGGCTATACTACAAAGCAAAGTCATCAAGACAGTATGGTACTGGCACAAAGATAGAAACATAGATCAACGGAACAAAATGGAAAGCCCAGAGATAAATCCATGCCCCTATGAACACTTTATCTTTGACAAAGGAGGCAAGAATATACAATGGAGAAAAGACAATATCTTTAACACTTGGTGCTGGGAAAACTGGTCAACCACGTGTAAAAGAATGAAACTAGAACACTTTCTAACACCATACACAAAAATAAACTCAAAATGGATTAAAGATCTAAACATAAGACCAGAAACTATAAAACTCCTAGAGGAAAACATCGGCAAAACACTCTCTGACATAAATCACAGCAGGATCCTCTATGACCCACCTCCCAGAATAATGGAAATAAAAGCAAAAATAAACAAATGGGACCTAATTAAACTGAAAAGCTTTTGCACAACAAAGGAAACTATAAGCCAGGTGAAAAGACAGCCTTCAGAATGGGAGAAAATAATAGAAAATGAAGCAACTGACAAAGAATTAATCTCAAAAATATACAAGCAACTCCTGCAGCTCAATTCCAGAAAAGTAAGCGACCCAATCAAAAAATGGGCCGAAGAACTAAACAGACATTTCTCCAAAGAAGACATACAGATGGCTAACAAACACATGAAAAGATGCTCAACATCGGTCATTATCAGAGAAATGCAAATCAAAACCACAATGAGGTACCATCTCACACCGATCAGAATGGCTGCTATCTAAAAGTCTACAAGCAATAAATGCTGGACAAGGTGCAGAGAAAAGGCAACCCCCTTACACTGTTGGTGGGAATGCAAACTAGTACAGCCACTATGGAGAAGAGTGTGGAGATTCCTTAAAGAACTGGAAATAGAACTGGCGTACTGCCCAGAAATCCCACTGTTGGGCATACACACCGAGGAAACCAGAATTGAAAGAGACATGTGTACCCTGATGTTCATCGCTGCACTATTTACAATAGCCAGGACATGGAAGCATCCTAGATGTCCATCGGCAGATGAATGGATAAGATAGCCGTGGTACATATACACAATGGGATGTTACTCAGCCATTAAAAAGAATGCATTTGAATCAGTTCTAATGAGGTAGATGAAACTGGAGCCTATTATACAGAGTGAAGTAAGTCAGAAAGAAAAATACCAATACAGTATTCTAACACATATATATGGAATTTAGAAAGATGGTAACGATGACCCTATATGCAAGACAGCAAAAGAGACACAGATGTAAAGAACAGACTTTTGGACTCTGTGGGAGAAGGCGAGGGTGGGATGATTTGAGAGAATAGCACTGAAACATGTATATCATCATATGTGAAATAGATCTCCAGTCCAGGTTCAATGCATGAGACAGGGTGGTCAGGGCTGGTGCACTGGGATGACCCAGAGGGATGGGATGGGGAGGGAGGCGGGAGGGAGGGTTGGGATGGGGAACACATGTACACCAATGGCTGATTCATGTGACTGTATGGCAAAAACCACTACAATATTGTAAAGTAATTAGCCTCAAATTAAAATAAATTTAAATAAATATGGTACCAATTAAAAAATAATAAAATTGTTAAACCTTATATGTGGCTTCAGATCATGATTATAAAAGAGGAATTCAAGTTTGACTTTCCAATCTACCATGCAGTTTTGTTAGCTTCACACCCCTCAATCCTACAATAGAGATAATATATGCATACTGTATCTTTCAAATTTACATTTGTAAATAAAGCAGATCACACTGGTTTTGTACAATAATTATTAATAATTAATTAGGAATTAGATTTCACTGGCATTTGTATCCCTAACAGAACTCATGGGAATGTTCCTCAAACAGGATGAGACATTGCAAGTCACGTGAAAATGGAAACAGATATGATGTTTTAGATGATTTTCAAATTTATGAGAAACAGGATACTGATTAAGGCAAGAGGATAGTTAAGATATTGGAGGAAAGGATTGTAATTCAAAATAGCATTGTAAATAAGAAAGGAGACAAATTAACAATAAAAAAAGAATTTATTCTTGGAGGCCACTAGTCAAATTCCTCTTTAAAACAATCTCATGACACAGTTATTTCCCTTTTCTAGAAAAACAAACTATACTCAAAACATACTGCAGTAATCAGAACATGTAATAAAAAGTTCTTGTGAGATTATTTCTCCTTGTCCAGATATTGGGCTTCTTTTTATTTGCTTTTTAACAATTGCTTGCTTCTCAGTACCTCATATGAGTAAGTTGTGTTATAATCAGATGCTACATGCTCTATTATTTTTGACAAAGAAGAGTAACAAAAAACAATCAGAAAATCTCTCTTTCTTGAAGCAGATCCCTTTGTTCTTACAGATCTTGGCAATGAGTTTGTAGAGAAAATTTTAAAAAGTAGGAACCCAGAATTAAAGACAATGATGAGGAGGAAGATGAAGAGAAAAGAGAAGATGAGGGAAGGAGAGTGGAAGGAAGAAAAGGTAAGTGGAGCAGAAAAAGGGGAATAGTTAGAGGTATGGGGAGAAAAGAGAAGAGGAAAGGGTTGGATTAAGATAGAGGGAGATGAATTACATAACCAAGCAAAGAGAAGATACTAGTTTTGGCAAGGTTCTCAAACCACAGTTGCACTTGCATATTAGCAAAAAGGTAAGTGAACACATGGAATATTTATTCATTCAGTCAACAAATACAGTATCTAATGTTTGGTTAGACCATGAGAAAAATTCATAAGACAGTTTTTGTTTTCCCCTATATTTTCAGAAACTATGTACACACATAATTATAATACAAAGTAGAAAGGGCTAAATTGGAGAAGGAAATGGCAACCCACTCTAGTACTCTTGCCTGGAAAATTCCATGGATGGAGGAGCCTGGTAGGCTACAGTCCATGGAGTCACACAGTTGGACACAACTGAGCAACTTCAATTTCTTTCTTTCTATAGTTCCTTTTGGAGAAGGAAACGGCAACCCACTCCAGTGTTCTTGCCTGGAGAATCCCATGGACAGAGGGGCCTGGTGGGCTGCGGTCTATGGGGTTGCAAAGAGTCGGATATGACTAAGCAACTAACACACATACACACACACACATACACACACACACACATAGAAAGGGCTAAATACTGTTAAAAAGGTACAGGAGAG